TAAAGTTTTATTTAAATTATAAAATAAATTATTTGTCAAAAGATTGCATTAATTGTCCCATAAGTGACATTAATTTAAGTCAAACCTAAAGTTCAGTTATTATTCATTTTTTACCAATAGATGGCAATAATGTCTCCATTAGTTGAATATTTTTGAGTGAACCCTAAAGTGCAGTTTTGATGTATGTATTGACCAATAGATGGCAGCTTCGACTCCATAAGTGCAACATTTGTGTAAAAGTTACATTTTTGTTAAAACTTTTTAATGCATTCTATGAGTTGCCAAAAGATGTATAATTTATAACAATAACTGTCCATAAAGTCATAGAAATGTAAATAATGTCATTTATTTATCGTTCAGCCCTTCAAACTAGGGTTGGCAATATGACAAACCATGTATTTTACATATGTAATTTACAGTTTATTATACGGTGTATTTTACATGCACATATTTTTCATTTTGTAAAATACATCATTAAAAAATTTATTGGTAAAATTTTTTAAATATTTTTACAAAACTTGGGTAAAATGTTTGCACACTTGTTATTTGTTTATTATTGTAAAAACAATCATTGATATAAATGAATAAATAATAGCCACAATCAATTATTTGGAACTATTTTACAAAAACCGATGATAAAAATTGCGGCAATTTTGTCGAAAATTAATTAATGGACCAGATTCAATTGTCGAATGTTAAATAATTAGTGATTAAAATGTATAATTAATATCATAATTACAATAAGAATGTTCAATTTTAAGGGAATAAAATACGTTAATTTTTTCCCCATAGTAAGTAAAATGACATGTATATTACGTGCATTTTGTATTTTACAATGTAAATTACATGGCCTCAAAAAAATCCTTGTAATTTTCCAACCCTACTTCAAACGTTGTGTCCATTCGGAAGAAATCACTTGTTTTGCAAATAAAACACAGTATTAATTAAGGTTGGTAAATTACAAGGATTTTTTTGAAGCTACGTAATTTACATTGTAAAATACAAAAATGCACGTAATATACACGTAATTTTACTTACTATGGGGAAAAAATTAACATAGTTTATAAATTAAAATTAAGCTATTTAATTGTATTATTTACACTAATTATAC